ATTGAGGAATGTAGGCTATACCATACTTACTTGTGCAATTTAAGTTCATTAAACACACCATTTCATCAGATTGACTGCCTTTGTGTTGGGCGGGTTATAATTAACCACTGCTTTGCAGTTTTAGCAGAAAGGCCAGAAAGGAATTCCCTTAAGTTCAATAACATCTCATTACTTTGAGTGTGGATATGCCGTAACCAGATCATAAGAGAGACATTCACTCTCCACTGTAATGAAGTGATAATTAAGATGATAATATTAAACTACAAGACTAAAAATGACTCATCAGCTAGAATCTCCAATTTTTTCACAGTTACTTCTAAATTATTATTTGTGTAGCGAGAGATTTTAATAAAATTCACGAAGAATTAATGAGTTCTATTGGATTTGCTGCCACTAAAAAGTCATATAAGTAGCTTTAAAATGTGATTAATGATCTTAGATTTTCTTTGTCTCTTTATTATGAAACATCTCTGGACTCCTGTAACTGTATGATGAGAACTTAACTTTACATGTATCTTAGTATGCCAACAGCTCTGTAAATTAGGCCTTATGTAATGGAACTATTGACAGCTTTTGTTATTATTACACTTTAGTATTAATAAGGCAAATAAAGTGGCAATGTCATCTGTATTGCAAGACTTTTTCGGGTCAGGTTTGGGAAGAGAGGGCCTGTGATTATGGAAATTGATGCAGAATAGCATGATCCAGTTCATACCTGTCACCCAAACATTTTGGAATAACTACAGCGAAATTAAGATTTTTGTTAAAAGTCTTGGGAAAGTACAAAATGTCACCAATGTAAGGCTGGATTTTTCTATTGGCATCATTCTTCCCTCAAGGTGCAGTGCCGGCGGCAGCAATCTTTTGGAAGTAATTACGCCTGCTTAATATTTAACACAATTTGCATGTTCACACTCGCTCATGGTAATGCTTAGCACAGTGTTAAGAGCTGCCAATTCAGATCATAATTAGAAGCCAGAATACCAAAACAATGCTCCCAATACAATTATCAATTGCAATTTTAGTGTTAACTAGTGGAGGTTTGGAGCCCAAATTGAAGCTGCTCGTAATACCAAAACACAATAGAAGTACTGTACTTGCAGGTGCGTGTTCCATTTCAAACAGCGTCTGCACACTTAACAAGATGATGATGAACCTGGAAGGAGAAGGCAGTATCATCCTGTAAACAGAATTTTCCAAGGCATGGCTCTGATTGAAAAGGAGCGCTTAAGGCGGTTTAGACTCAGGGGACAAGTATTGCAGGATTGAGCCAGAAATTGCAGAGTTGGGGAAATGGCAGCTGCCAACTAGTTTTAAGGCCACTAGATCCTGCTGATTAAGAAGTCCCAAGTCAATCCACCATGTTGAAATGCACTCTGAAAATAAATCAGATGGAGGGCCTTTATCTACAATGAAAAGTAGCATTTCAGCAATGCTTGAAAGTACAATGCAGGATGCAGCACCTCACGGTCAATTGCTATCAAAAATAATGATTGTGTGATCTATCATATAGACGTAACTTGTTTTAATTGTTTTGGGTGGCTCCTTAAGAATTGAAGTCTTCCCTGTTAGCCAACAATTAAATCTGTTAAATAAACTGATCAGAGGTGCCTCTTCAGAAAAACATTCCCTAGTCGGGAAAAAAAGTAGCAACAAACTTTTGTGCCATCTGTTTTTTGTTTTTAAAAATAATTCCATAATGTCTCAACAGCATATTCAGTTGCAGTGGCATGTTGCAAACCTAGTATTTTTTAAGAGTAAAATTTGATGGCGTTTATAAATGATCAGTCGGTATCATGTGATATTTATATGTTGTGTATTATCAGCTATAGTAGACACGATTGTTAGATTCTATAAAACCACAGAAATCTTCCCCAGAAGGTCCAGCTGTTCCCTGAAACAATCCAGATGGTCAGCCTGGCTCGGTTGATAGCATTCTCACCTCTGAATCAGAAGGTTGTGGGTTTGAACTCACAAGTCAAGGCTCACTCCAATACTGTGCTGGGTGTGAGCTGCATTGTCAGAGGTTGCCATTCCTTTGGACGAGATGTTGAACAGAAGTGCCATCTGCCTGTTCAGGTGGATGTTAAAGAGCCCAAGGCACTATTTCAAAATAAATTCCGGTATCCTATAGCCTAGGCTGTCCATCGCAGTAAGTATACAGCCCTTCCATTATAAACACTAGGATTATGATATCGCTTAATAGAAAGTGTGCAGACACTGCCTCCTTAAAATACAGGAATGTCTGATTAGTTGTTTCCTTTTATGTAGTGTTAAATGATGGCTTGCAGATAAAATTGGTCATTCATTTCATGGCTGTTTGTGGGGCATTGCTGTACATAAAAAGGCAATGCACAGTAACTATACTTTACAGCAGATCCTGTGCTTTGAGATATTTTCCCGATGTGAAAGGCGGTATAATGTAAAGATTATTATTAATCCGTGCAGTACGCTGTGCTGGTATTCACGGTTTGGTGAGTTCACAAAATGTTTCTGAAGGATACGAAGAGGAGAAACCAGAGATATTAGCAAACAAATTACACCATTAATTCCACTGCCTACCACATAATTATATCTGAGGGAAGATCTTGACAATTACAATTAATTTTGAATCATATAATGTCATGCTGTATTTCCTGCCAATAATTTACCTGATTTTCTATCTAATGAACACAAAATAAGTACATTACAGCTTAGGGACAATTCTTGATTAATTCTTGAAAAGTTTGGAAGGTTTGCTTGATCACACTCCAAATTGTTCGGCTAAATTTTTGTTAATATCTTATTAGACTTCTGGGATGCTTTGATTGAAGCATTATTCATAGCAAGATTAACATTAAAGCTATGTAATGCCTCCGTTCTTTCCATATGGTGTTGGATCTTACCATAATAATAATAATTCTTACATTTGATACAGCAACTCATCATGTAGAAATATCTTAAAGCATTTCACAAGATTCAGTGGAAGGTGTAATGGTTGTATATTTGTAGGCAAACACAACAGCCAATTTGCGGACACACACACATACACACACATCTACACAATCAATCCATGGAGAAGCATCTGTGGTGTTTAAAAAAGCATAGAGAGATAATTGAGAAGTAAGAGTATTAAGGATGGGAAGTTACTTGGGAAGTAATAGCATCAGGATATGGTGTAAAAAGCAGGACTATGGGATTATCAAGATAAAGAGCCGTCATGAAATGGTGCTGCATGGGTTTCAGTGAGCGGGTTCTCTGTACTGTGGTGTGGACTTGTCATTTTTTTTAAGTCATCCAAGTGTCTTAACACATGTGGAGACCCATCATCATGCTTAAGAATACTCAAACCATAGTGAGAGGGCCACACGTGTATGTCACCTACCCATAGTAAATATCCGTAGGGAGGACACACCCTGCTTATCCAATTCCAATAGAGTATTAGGCGCAAGTTGCGGAGAGACGAGGCTCGGGGCCATTTGGGGGTACTGCTGGGCGTTTAACCAGCTGAAACCGCACAGCTTGCCATTGAAAGTACTGTGTCAAGCTTTCCTACTGCTTGTGCGGCCAGTACAACCGTACTGTCAGGAGCTTTGGACTTGCAGGGTTAATAGGAGCTGAATGGGAATAATAATAATAATAATAATCCTTGGATTTGATTTAGTGCTGTTCACATCTTCTAGATGTCTCAAAGCGCTTCACAGAATAAACTGTAAAGTGAATTGACACCATATTTGTGGGCGAAACTCGGCAGCCATTTGTGCACAGCAGCGTCCCACAAACAGCTGTGGATTGAAGCGACCAATTTTATTATTGTTTATTTTTCTTGAGGCATTATTATCCGGCGCACGTGCGGAGTAAGGAAACTTGCCCAAGGTTTCGCCCTGACCTGCCGGGAATCGAACCCAGGTCTCTCGCTTGCGAAGCGAGTGCTTTCAACCACTGAGCTCCGGGACTCCGCGACCCGTGACCCGGTCTGGCCCCTCCGAGTCAAGAGCTCCGAGTTCCCCCTCCGGCGTGAAGGGGCGCGATATAAATGCAAGTTGTTGTTGTTGCTGGTGGTGAGCCAGCCTGGCTGGGCTGCCAGCAGGGGCGAGTGATTGAGTGAGTGAGATTGAGTGAGTGAGTGAGTGAGTGAGTGTGAGATTAAGTGAGCTTGAGTGAGTGAGATTGAGTGAGAGAGTGAGATTAAGTGAGTGAGTGAGAGTGAGATTGAATGAGAGTGAGTGAGATTGAGAGTGAGATTGAGTGAGTGAGAGTGAGATTGAGTGAGAAAGTGAGATTGAGTGTGAGAGTGAGATTGAGTGAGTGAGATTGAATGAGAGTGAGTGAGATTGAGTGAGTGAGAGTGAGTGTGAGATTGAGTGTGAGTGAGTGAGATTGAGTGAGATTGAGTGAGAGTGAGATTGAATGAGTGAGAGTGAGATTGAGTGAGTGAGAGTGAGTGAGAATGAGATTGAGTGAGATTGAGTGAGTGAGAGATTGAGTGAGTGAGATTGAGTGAGTGAGAGTGAGTGAGAGATTGAGTGTGAGTGAGTGAGAGTGAGATTGAGTGAGATTGAATGAGTGAGAGTGAGATTGAGTGAGTGAGAGTGAGTGAGAATGAGATTGAGTGAGATTGAGTGAGTGAGAGAGTGAGTGAGATTGAGTGAGTGAGAGTGAGATAGAGTGAGAGTGAGATTGAGTGAGAGTGAGTGAGAGTGAGTGAGAATGAGATTGAGTGAGTGAGTGAGATTGAGTGAGAGATTGAGTGAGTGAGATTGAGAGTGAGTGAGAGAGTGAGATTGAGTGAGTGAGAGTGAGTGAGAGAGTGACCTCCTGGGGGCAGTGGCCACCCATTAGCCGCCTGGCTGACAAATGAAGGTTAATCCCGCTGCGGTGCGCTGCACTGCGCGGTGGCGACCATGCAGGGGGCGCTGCGGCGGGAGGGCGGCGCTGCAATGGCTGAACAAGCGGGCGGGAGGCGGGGGACCCTCCGGGGGGGGGACCCCTCCTGGTCGCGGGTTGAACTCCTCCCGCCGCCGCCATGACACCTTTGCTGGAGCACGAGCGGCAGATCTTTCTCGACTTGTTCCACGAGGACGGGCTCGTGGTGACGGCCCGGGGCCTGGGGGTGGACAGGATCCTGCTGCACTCCTGAAGCTGCACTGCGACCCCGGCAACCTGGTGCTGGTGCTCAACACCAATGTGGCCGAGGAGGTGAGCTCGGCCCCGGCCTCGGTTTCTCTCCCCCCCCCCACCCCCTCCACCTCGGCTCCCCGGCCTCAGGCCTCAGCCCAGAGAGAGAGAGAGAGAGAGAGCGGGAAGTGGGTCGTCATCGCCGGGTTACCACCAGCAAACCACGCCCCCCCCCTCAATTGTACGGTGTCAGCCATTCGGCTCTGAGGCGGGGGGTGGGGGGGTGTTGTGGGTTCAAGCCCCACCTCAGGACTTTCGGCTCTCAAGGTCTCGGCTGATGATGATGATGATGATGATGATATAATAATAATAATCGTTGCATTTTGATGCAGCGCCTCGTCACGTCCTCCGAGACGTCTCAAGGCGCCTCGCAGCAAACTCTACACTTCGTGGGCCAAACCCGGCAGCAGCCGCTTGTCCCGCGAACGGCCTCGGAGCCTCCGCCGCCGCCGCTGCCGCCGTTTCCGGAAGGGATTGCTCCGGCGCGGTGGGGGGGGTGGGGCGCCGTCACGCTGTCGGGGTGCCGTCCTTCAGACGAGCTGCGCGCCAGCCTGGCTCGGCTCGCCCGGCCGGTCGGTAGCTCGCCTCTTTTGGGACGAGGTTTGCGGGTTCAAGCCCCCCGCGGCGGGACCCGGAATCGCACGGCCTCGGCCACTCCCGAGCGGAGCCGGGGTTGCGTTGCGCCGTCTTTCAGCCGAGAAGCGAAACCTCGTGCTCCCAACTGAAGACCGACCGGTCCATCCAGTATTGAACGAGAACTTTTCAAACAGGCCAGAAACGTGTATATCTCACAAATTTCACGGCAAAGAATACAGTTCATACTAAGTGGGTATTCCAAGGTTGGGAAATGACGTGGAATTCACCTTTAAGTCTGGGGGTGGGTGGAGGGGGACCCAGGTTTTGCAGTGTGGTGCTGCTACTCTGATTGTAAAACAAAAAGGATGTTGGGAGGGGGTTTCATAAGGCAATATTTCTGTCAACCGGTCGGCTGCACTTTTTTTTAAACGCATTTGATTTTCAGCCACTGATTTTCGGAAGTCGGTGGTCGCACCAAAACAAGATGCCTTGAACTTCCCTCTGTGAACTCTTGCTCACGCCTGTCATTCTCTGAAGGGGGAGAGCAGTTTGTGTTTTAAGTTCTGGAGAAGCCTATGATACATTAACTTGCATTAATAATAATAATCCTTGCATTTGATATAGCAAATAATAATCCCTCCAAAACCAAAACAATAATAAATTGGTCATTTTCAATCTACGACTGTTTGTGGGACATTGCTGTGCGCAATTGGCTGCCGCGTTCGCCCACAAATATACAGTCAATTCACTTTACAGTGTGTTCTGTGAAGCGCTTTGGGACGTCCTTCCGACGTGAAAAGTGCTATATCAAATGCAAGGATTATTATTATTATAGCGCCTTATCACATCTTCAGCATGTCTCAAAGAATATACTGTAAAGTGAATCAGCTGGATCCATTCAAATTTTCAGCTGGAACCATTCAAATTTTCCAGACTGAGGTGGATAGATTTTTCTTAGGTAAGGGCATTGAGTGATATGGGGCAAAGGCGAGTAATTGGAGTTGAGGTACAGATCAGCCATGATCTGATAGAATGGCTGAACAGGTTCGAGGAGCTGAGTGACCTACTCCTGTTCTCTTGTTCCTGTGTGTTTTTACATGACATTGGTAGGAACGATATACTAAAGACCTGCTCTTTGTTCAGGAGTACTTCATTGAGCAGTTACGCTCTGAAGGGGTGTCACACCTTCCTCGTATCATTAACAATGAAATCCCCAGTAGTGAGCGCTACACTGTGTACACTGAAGGTGGAGTCTTGTTTGTGACCAGTCGCATTCTGGTAGTTGACTTCTTAACAAATCGAATTCCTGCAAACCTTATCACAGGTAGGTGGGCCTACAGAGGTGTTGAAAATATTTTTTTTTAAAAAAAGGGTTATTTTCTAATTTTCCGCAGTGTTAGAAGCTTGAACAGAAAGTGAGATAAGATGCCCTCCATTGCTGGTGGCTAGAGATGATGAATCAAGTTAATTGCAGAGGTCACCATGATTCCCAGATCACTCCCAGTGCAGTAGCATTTTCCATTATTTCACAATTGTTAATAACCCATGAGTTACCACTTTGTGCATGCAGTTAGTAGTTTTAAAGCAACTTACTTGCTAATGGCTTTGTTTTCTTGGTCTGGTCCCACCTATCTTTCTCTGTGATGAAAGACCGAATCGGACTGCTGACTGAGCCTTTTTCTGATGTTTATTCGCTTCGCTCGTTTTATTATGTTCATTTATTGTAGAAATGGTGAACCAGAAATCAATAAAAGCAAAATGCAGTAAAATGTTGATTTGTTGCAGCTTTTTCTCTCTATGTTCTACATTTGCCACCCTCCACTTATTTTCAATATACTCCCATACCAGAAACTGTTCAGTAACCGGAGAGATGAGCACAGTGTGTGCCCAATTCTCTAATGCGCTCCTCGCCAGTCTCCCGAGCTTCAACATTCACAAAGACCAACTCATTTAAAACTTTGTTGCCCATATCCTCACACCTACCAAACTCCACATCCTATCACCCCAATTTATACCAGACCTACTGGCTTCCTGTTGCAGAACGGATTGATTTCAAGATTCTCACACGCGCCTACAAATCACTTCAGGCCCTGGCACCTACCTCCTTCACTGACCAGCTCACACCCCACTCTTCTACCCACCTCCTTCGCTCAGCCAGCTCAGACCTTCAGCATATCACCCGACCCCTCCATTCCACCATCAGTCGCCGTGCGTTCTATGCCCTACCCCCTGGAACTCTCTACCTTGCCCCCCTTTATACCTGGTTTTAGGTCATATCTGAAGATTTTCCTTTTCGATTGTCTCTTCTCCTTTCTTCCCCAGTCAAAACTATGCCATTGATAAGCACTTTGGGAAGGTACACTGCGTGTAGGGGGCGACGTAAATGCAAGTTGTTGAAGTCTGGCTGCCTGGTCTCCAGTGGAATGGCCAATTCATGGAAGGATAGTTTGGTTGTGACTGCCAATAAAGTCTTCAGATAGGGTTAATAATTGTGCACGGACATTTATGAGCCAAAGAAATTTATGTGCTCTTCTAAAAATGCTGTTGTCAGCTTTCATAACTGAGAATATAAATCTGTTTGAACCCAGATATAAAATGTTATTAAATTATAGATCACTACTGTATGATTTATAGAGTTGCTTCCCAGTTTTAGAAAAAATCATAACATTTATGCTGCAGTCCCAGGTGGGCTGGTCCTGACCTAGTTGCATTAATATTTTCCGTAATGCAACTATTACTGGAATATTTAATGTACTTGCAGGAATATTGGTATACAAAGCTCAGAAAATCATCGAGTCCTGTCAAGAAGCATTTATTCTCCGGCTATATCGGCAGAAGAACAAGCAGGGTTTTATCAAGGCTTTCACGGATAATGCGGTGGCTTTCAGCGCTGGATTCTGTAAAGTGGAGAGGGTGATGAGAAATTTGTTTGTTCGAAAGCTATACCTCTGGCCAAGGTGAGTACATTGTGGAGTTGGAGAACCCTGACAATTATAATGGCAGTGGGAGTTGCTGGAATATTACAGAGCAGATGTTCAGAATGAAATGCTGTACAATTTAGTCATTTGAAAGTTTAAAGGGTTCTTTGAACTCTTAAATAATAATAATCCTTCTATTTGATATAGCGCCTTTCACATCTCAATGCACTTCACAGGATTTTTCTGTGAAGTCTAGTGAATGTATATTGTAGGCAAAGGCGACAGCCAATTAGCGCACAGCAGTGCCCCGCAAACAGCCATGGAGTGGATGACCAGTTTTATTTGGGGGGTTGTTGGCCAGGACAATGGGATTTCTAATGTCCGCCACCTAACGGGCAGATGGGATGTTGGCTTAATGCCTCAAATGAAGAACAGCACCTCTGTCAATATAGCGTTCCCAGCCTACACTAGAATATAAGCCTAGACCAAGGAAGACCAATTTACAGCCCGCTGACTATTTTATACGTACGTAATGCGTTTTGCGTACAGCCCGCGGGCCACAAGTTGGCCATCCCTGGCTTAGACAGTTCAAGGTCTTGACCTGCGCTTGAGCCCACAACCTTTTGACCAGAGGCTACTAACTGAACAGGATGGTTCCACACATGCACACTACTTCCTCTGAAGCACTGTGTACCCCTGTGTAGTGTTGCTCCAAATATCACAGGAAGCTGGAGAATTGGGAGCATCCAATGTAACCCAGCTAACTAATCCGAGATAATGTTGTTTAATTCACCTCCCTTACATTGGCCACGTTTATAACGAGGTCATAAGGAAACTACATTTTAAGATGAGTCGTTATAATTAGAGTTGGAAACGGGTTTTTAGTGTTAATTAATCTTAAGAAGATTGATCTGTGTAATCTTGGCTAACCACATTCCAGGGAAAGAATTTGTTTTAAATGCCACACTCTTAGAATTTAATGTCATTTCAGCTCATAACAAATCATGTTACATTGTTATCTCATGACAAAAAGGCTGCAAGAAATCAATCTCTGCTGTCAGTGAGTGAAAAATAACCTGTGTGAAAAAGTACTGGTAATGAATCGATGCCTGGAGACAGATATTGGATATATTTTCCTTTTATTGGAGTCTTTGAAACTTCACATTTTAAAAGAAAATCAGTATTAAAGTAATTTGATTCATTCCACCAATGTTGTGGATAGTAATAATTGTGTGGTCGGTTGGAGAGCTCCGAGGCCTATCTCGTGAGGACAGATGTATTTGGAGACTGTTGTGTACAATGTTCGTCCCACTGTCTATAGTTGCAGCATTCAAAATTGCTAGCAAGATGGTATAAAGTGAAGGGAAGCTTTAGACTCGCACATTCACTTTAACTTGCAATCTGCAGGTGTTAAAAACTCAACCATTGCTCTTCATCGTATCTACTGCTCTTTTTAGTCTATGCCCCTTAATCCTTCACCTAAGTTTCTCAATTTATCTTTTTAAAAAGTGAAACCGAAATTTGAATATTTATCTGGAAAATTGCCAATAGGAAATGTTAGAATTCTACTGGTTATAATAATAATAATATTCTGACAAAAGTTATTAACTTTCAGAAATTTCCACAGTGTTGACATTACAAACGCTACATACATATTGACCTTGCAAAGTATAAAATAGAAGTGTTTGATGGGAGAAAATAAATGCTTTTCCTAAATGTAATTTAGATAAAAAGATTTTTAGGATATACTGTGATTGTGTTCTACTAATTTCCACATATTCTTTCACTAATATACATCTCTCTGTTAGATTTCACATAGCTGTCAGCTCTTTCTTGGAGAGACATAAACCTGAAGTAATCGAACTGCATGTGTCTCTGACACCTGCCATGCTGGCTATCCAAACTTCTATGATGGACATAATGAACGCCTGCTTGAGAGAACTTAAACGCTACAACCCATCGTTGGAAATCGAGGATCTGTCTCTTGAGAATGCTATTGGGAAGTCATTTGACAAGGTTTGTGAACCAGCACTCTCTCTCTCTTTCTGTTGCTTTTTGAAAAAAAATAAAGCTCTGTGCTCCACAAGAGCACTGTTTGGAATGTGCCGAAGGTATTTTTTTAGCTTGCTTGTGGGAGGTGTGCGAAGTTTCTTGAATGTCTTCCTTTTGCTTGGAACATTCCCAGAACTTCACAACAATGACTACAAACACATAAATCACATATTCTAAATCCTACCCTCTGTATAGATTATTACAGTTACAAGATATGTTCTAGTGCATACTTAAAGAATATGAATCAATTCAGTTAGATGCGTTCTTCACAGGGAATACCTTAAATCCTCCATAATACTGCCTTTGGTAGAGCTCCTCCATAATACTGCCTTTGGGCGAGCTGCTCCATAATGCTGCCTTTGGGCGAGCTGCTCCATAATGCTGCCTTTGGGCGAGCTGCTCCATAATGCTGCCTTTGGGCGAGCTGCTCCATAATGCTGCCTTTGGGTGAGCTGCTCCATAATGCTGCCTTTGATAGAGCTCCCAAGTGGGTCTTTTAAAAGATGTATTTTTGAAGTCTGCCATCTCTACTATCCAGTCTGCTACAGTCGATAGAATGAATGTCGGTTTGGGAGAACTTAAATGCTAGAGGCCATCGTTGCAAGTCGATGATTGCTCTCTGGAGAATATATAATTGCTATAATTCAGACAGGAGCTGCAGGCAATGTACTGCACTTGGAGTAAGGTTGTGGTACATCAGTGTGCCCTCTGGTACAGAGTACCGGTAATTTGGTGGTAGACACAGGTGATGCTTCAAATGCATCTGTGTGCCAGAACCCTTATTTAAAAGCTGAAGTATTGTATAAGAATGGAACAGCAGCCTATACAAAGCTTCATAAATACAACATGGAGCTATTATTTTTTTTATGTCAGGATTAACTCGTCACAAAAGGGGACGTCACAAAGCTCCTTTACATGAATTTTTTTTTATCCTACTGCGAGAGTAATTTAACTTTCAGTTTGCTTTCTTTGTGATAACATAAAGAGGTGTTTTAGTGGGTCCAATGGTTATTTGAATTGATCATGATGATTATAAAAAGTGGAGAAAAAAAAACTTGGTTATTTCCCAAATTCTTCAGATATTTGGGAGACTGGTACATATCAGACGATCCTGCATCTTCTGACCCCAGAATAACAAAACAGCCAATGGCTCCAATCACTACAGTGAACAGCTTTTTAAACATGCTATTTAACCTTCACGCTTACTCTTCAATTCATATTTGGTAATTTGTGGTAATACTGTATTCTGCTTGAACGCTAGATAATTCGGCACTATTTGGATCCAGTCTGGCACCAGCTTGGCGCTAAGACCAAGTCTCTGGTCCAGGATTTGAAGATTCTCCGCACCCTATTACAGTATCTGACTCAATATGATTGTGTTACCTTCCTCAATCTGCTGGAATCTCTTCGAGACAGCGAGAAAACATTTGGACAAAACTCAGGTAATGTTGCAAACATTACTGAATGTACTGTTGGTGGGATTCATGCAGAAAGAGAGGTGCTTACTAAGGAATTCCCCACCTACTCTGCAACAAATAGCAGGGTAATGTTTGCACACATTTCTGCATCATCTTTATAGTCCATTGCCTTTTTATATGAATCTTTAATGTGGAAGGTGAACTCACTGGGCATCACTTTTCCATCATTCGGAATGTGTTGGTCAGATTTGACATTGAGCAGGTTTGATCTTGAACAGCTCAAGGATTCTAGGCGAAAAGTTAATATAGTAATAGGAGGCAAAGGTCAGTTTACAGGAACATTTACCTGCAAAAACAGTCCTCCGTCATAACAGTAATTACAGGCTGACCCAGTTATAACATGTTTTGGTGTAGAGAGGGTCTGCTGATAGTACAGTTACAGCTTGGATCCACCACCAGCCGGTCACTTAAATGCATACGGAATATGAACCCAAACCATTACATTGTGGTAGGGAGGGCCTGGCTTGTCCTCAAAGTGTTTTGACATGATCAGGCACTCTGAAAATATTTCTCGCAGCTATGGGTTCATCATAACAAATCCTGTGACTTTGTTTCCCTTATGATTGCATGACGTATTTGATGCAGTGAAACATTTGTGTACTTTGTTTTGCTTTGTCCTGTCAGGATGGTTGTTCTTGGAGGCCAGCGACATCATGTTTGTGAATGCTCGAGCTAGAGTTTATAAGCTTCCTGAGACCAGGCTTAAAACCTTCAAAAATCCAGCCAAGGTTGAACAAAAAGAAATGAAGGAGACAGGTGTGTATGTAACTGAAGTCACCATTATCCTAAATGTTTGCGATGAGTGTGGCCTCAGCGCCAATTTTTACTGAAGATCCTTACCTGATTACCTTTTGGATACAGGAAAAACTCCCAACTTTAAAGCCATCTATCTCCTTGCAGAAAAATGGATTCTGGTTGACAGGAAACTTTAAATAGTATGTTGTACAAACTTGGTGTTTGAATTTGCAATGCAGCAAAGTTCATGTTCTGAACCCTCCAGTCAAAGGAATGGTGCAGAGGAGCAGAGCCGCTGGTGGCCCGACAGGAGGGAAACAGGAAGGTGAGACGTTTGGAAGCATGTGCTGCTCCTTCAAACAAACCATACTATTGAACCACTGCTGGAGATTTTGGAGCAGACTTTGTGCTGCTCGCTTGGTTGGGAAAATCACGTGTGTGGCAAAGTGATGACAAGTGCAAAGCTAATTTCAAAAGCAGTCCTCCCTGTGCTCTAGTCATTTGATGTAGGATACTGAAGTCTCTCTTGATTCTGTACCCTGAAAGAGAAATAACTAGGAACTGGGAAGGCTGTACACAACTGCTGTATATGCATCTGTGGGGAAACTCCTTCAAGTTTGCAAAGTCCTTAGTGAAGCAATATGTTTATTTGTGCCTCATTTCAGAGGGAAAGAGAGAGCTGGTACTGGAGCAGAACCCAAAGTGGGAAGCATTGAGTGAGGTTCTGAAAGAGATCAGGAGCGAAAATGAACCAGGTGAAGCCCTGGAAAGCCCAGGTGAGCTGCTTAAACCATTGAAAGTTTTGAACATTTCCCTCTCATTTGGCTCGAGAATGTATTCACTGGTCATAATTCCAGTGGTGCGGTGAGATTGCAAACACCAGATGGTGTGGATTGTTTGCAGGAAGTGATTTTGATGGGTTTATGGGGCAGCTGAGAACAGGACAAATTACATTTAAAAAAAACACGGTGAGAATTGGCTTGTTTTAAGGTATTACACGATTGATGAGTTTGATATTTAACTTTTATTTTGTTGCAAGAGTTTGATATAAAAGATACCTCACTTTTGCATTGGAGAAGTACTTGTTTTTAAAAAATCCTGTAGGAGTACAATTGATGTCCACGACATTCACTCAATAAGCTATGAGGTGGGCTTAATTTGATCAATTAGGTAAACACTGAACAGGCCAGTGCTTTGGATGCAGGCATTCCCTTTTAGTGGGTTGTGAACTTAATAACTTAATGAGTAGGATTCCTACAATTTACAATAGCATAAATGTTGAAATGTGATTTCTGGCTACATTTCTAAAACTGATAATATAAATAAAAATAATCCTTACGTTTGATATGGTGCTTTTCACGTCAGGAGGACGGCTCAAAGCATTCCGCAGGATTTACTGTGAAGTGTAGTGTCTGTATTTCTAAGTGACGCAGCAGAATGTGCACACAACTGTGTCCCACAGATATGAAGTGATTTAGCCTATGAGTTCAAAGCCATAAAGTGGAGTTTCAACCCACAACCTTCTAATTCAAGTGGTGAAAGTGCTACCAACTGAGCCAGGCTAATATGAGTGTTACAGTGTTTACGTCTGCAGTTGGGAACCTGTGAAGTTTCAAAATCCATAATAGAGGCAGTGTTTGTTTAAAAAAAATCCTAGTCATTAATACTGCGGTTGAACTGCTGGGAGTGAAGCGATTTTGCCGTGTTGAGTCTGTGCCATGTTAATGACATTTCTCCAGACTGATTCTTTTTGTGGAACAGTTGAGTTTAAATTGCAGTGTTTATTAGTAAGAAATATGAGTCGCACAAATGGTGCTTTCCTTCAGTAATCAGAGGTACGACACATGGAAACAACCTACTTCCAAAATAGCGATCCGCTGTAAATTAGATACCCACCCAGCAGTGATTGTGCATATATAGATCTCAGTGTATGTCAGTGATTCCTAGTTTCAGCATCATAAAGGAATTAAAAGTTTTGGTAACAAAATAAAAAGTTCCAACTTATACAAACAAATGAGATTTGACTCTCTGCATAAGTTATTTTTGTGAGAGATGAGAAATACTATAAATAAAAGCTTTTTCTTCCTACCGACAGGCCAAGTGCTGATCTGTGCCAGCGATGACCGAACCTGTGCTCAGCTGAAGGAGTACATCACTGTTGGAGCCGAGGCATTGTTAACGAGGCTGTACAGTAAAACCTTGGGGACGAATGAGAAGGCGGAGGATGCGTGGGCAAACTCTGTAAAAGACAGGGTGCTCGGTAAGTCCAAGAAAATGTCTAAATCCGACAATGGGCCCAAACAGAAGAAAGCAAAAACAGAGAGTGTTAAAAATTGCACAACCAGGAAGAAACCTGAACTGACCTTGACACAAATGACAGGAGGAGCAAAGCATGAAGGTACTAAGAAGGAGGAAGGTGGAGAAGAAAGTGGGAGCCAGGAAAGCAGCACTGAAGAAGCTGAGGGTTTGCCACAGAATCTACCAACAAACTCTTGCTATGGGATCCTAACAGAGCCGCTCCTTCTCATCCACCCGCTGCAAGGCTGCAGTGATTCGTACAGCCTAACGCGTGTACTGCACGAGGTTGATCCCCGCTATGTTATTCTGTATGATGCAGAGCTGACATTTGTTCGCCAGCTTGAGATTTACAAAGCCAGCAGGCCTGGCCAGCCCCTCAGGTGAGCACCAGCCCTAATTCTCAGTTAACATCAGTTTGCACTGTATGGTGCCTTTCACCTATAATGAGCATTTATAAACGTTTAGATGTTTTTCAGTGTCTTAAATAAACTGCCGGAATTGTAGTTATTTTGCACTTTAAATATCTAATTTATTTGGCACTTATTTTCTTTCCTTTAATGTTATTAACCTTCAGATGCACTACATTTGTCTTTTCTGGTTCACTACATTTTTGTTCCAAATTAAATGCTCCTTTCTCCCATTTAGATAATTCTTATAATTCTTGAATTTGATACTATGCCTATAATGCCAAAATGTGTTCAAAGGCGTCAGCCTTGGTCTGTTGATAGCACTCTCGCCTTCAAGTCAGAAGCTCCCAAGACTTCAAGCTCCTCATTGTGTCTTTGAATTCATAGTGCAAGATGATGCTCCAACACAGTCCTGCATTGTCTGAGTCGCCGTCCTTCAGATGCTGGTTCAATGGCACTATTCAAAAAGAGAAGGGAGTTTTTCTCAGCGTGTTGGCCAACAATTCCCCTGATAAAATTTGTCATTTCCTTTATGGCTGTTTGTGGGACATTACTGTGCAAAATGACTGCCATGTTTGCCTACAAAATACTAAATCACTGCACTTTGCTGTAAATCCTGTCATCCTACTGAAAATGAAACGATTATTTATTATAACAACCCATCATACGAGGTAGCCTTTACATTTAGAATTTTTCCCAAGTAGTGAGTGAGTTAACCTTCGATTGAAGAAACCATTGACTTTGATCTTCAGCAACCACCAGTAATAGTACACTAAAACTAGATCGAATTTTCATCTGGGATTTAAGGAATGAATAATGGTGTGTTAGACGCCTGCTATTATCGTCACTGCCACTGGGCCATTCAACGAGTTTATTGCTTTACAATAAAACAAATGTGGAAGCTCAGCTTCATGACAGCTGCAATAAGGTGAGAAAATAAACCTCAGATTGACAGAGCCATTATTTGCACTGCAGAAATCCCAAGTCAGGAAACAGACTCTAGTTATGCGCCACCTCGTTGCATTGTTTCCATATATAGCACTTGGAAAGTTTTTAAAGTTTTAATGAGTGATGCAAGTTATTCGGTGTTACATAATGACCTCATAGATCCCACATGTATTCTATCTTGTCCTATAACCTATTTACGTAAATGACAATTTACATTTATGAATGCCTATACTGGCCCAAGCAGCATCTTGTTACATTTCAGCTTGAATCATTAAGCATATGTACTGCCTGAAGTGCTGATGCTTCATTCCATTGATTTCTTGCAGAGTTTACTTCCTGATTTATGGTGGCTCTTCAGAAGAACAGCGTTACTTGACAACTCTGAGAAAAGAGAAGATGGCTTTTGAGCATTTAATAAGGTGAGTGAAAGGAAATTCGGTTTCACTGGGGTCAAAAGTTTGAACCCCCATCAAAATACAAAAGGATTTGTTATCCCATTGCTTTGATTTGAAAGTGAATATTTAGGGAGTAGCTGGAGTATTTGCTGATTTTTCTCGGTGCAAAAAAACACTTCTTCCAGAGCAAACTTAATTGGCTCAATATTCTACTCCTGTTCATATCTTCCTTTCCTCATAAAATAATTGATCCCTCAAACAGTTCATGATTCTACAGTCAGCATCAGGCAATACAGTTCTTCTGATTTTGTTAAATCTGAAAAGTTCTGGTTAACCTGACATTACTGAAAAGAAAATGCTAAAATGCCTTTTCAAACAATAATGTTTCTGTTATGACGATGTTTCTGTTCCGCTTGATTGGAATGCAATTTAGGGAGAAGGCTGTAATGGTTGTCCCTCAGGAGAGGGAGGGAAGAGATGACTCAAACCAGGACCTCGTACGCAGTGTGGTTCCACCGACTGCAACTGCAGACACACGCAAGGCAGGTTTGTATAAATTGTGGAAACTTTCTCTTCTCTTCCCCCCCACCTCGCCCCATACTTGAGATTTAGAATCCTGAAGTGTGGTGATCAGGGAAATGTTCTTGCTAGCGATCGTAAAATGGAATGTCCCTTCCATTCCCTTGTTTTAAAGGGAGAATAAAACAGTAGTATATTTCAGTAGTATGTCTCCATGTCTGCTTTATTGGCCTTTTACAGTCTCTATAGATCCATATTCGGGAAAGTGGCTACACACTAAGATGACACTAGTGGCTTGGCCCTTTAGTTTTCCAGCTTGCTCCTTCCTTTTGATTTGATGAAGAAAGATGGCGGTTGGTCCACTTATTTGTTCTTTGCTTGTCTTGTTTATATAGGTGGCCAGGGACAGAAGAAAGAGGAACATTGCATTATAGTGGACATGCGGGAGTTCCGCAGTGGGCTTCCTTCCCTGATACACAAACGCGGCATTGACATTGAGCCGGTCACTCTGGAGGTGGGCGACTACATTCTGACTCCTGATATTTGTGTGGAACGCAAGAGTGTGAGCGACTTGATCGGCTCCTTGAACAACGGCCGCCTCTACGCACAGTGCGTCTCCATGACCCGATACTATAAGCGACCCATGCTTCTAATCGAGTTTGATCCTAGCAAATCCTTCTCCCTGAATTCCAAAGGGACAATTCACCAGGAGATTTCCGCCAACGATACCACCTCCAAGCTCGCTCTGCTGACGCTCCACTTTCCCAGGCTGCGCATCCTCTGGTGCCCGTCTCCACACGTAACAGCTGAACTGTTTGAGGAGCTGAAGCAAGGCAGGCCCCAGCCCGATGCAGCCACTGCCATGGCTATTGCAGCTGATTTAGACACTCTCTCCGAGTCGGGCAAATACAATCCAGGCTCACATGACTTCCTGATGAAAATGCCTGGCGTGAACAGCAAAAACTGCCATGCTCTGATGAACCGTGTGGAGAACCTCACTGAGCTGGTCAGCCTCACCAAAGACAGTTTAGCAGACATATTAGGCAATGCTAACAATGCCAAGCTACTGTGGGAATTCATTCACTCTTCATGTAAAGATAATGTAGCACAAGGAAAACGAAAAAAGTAATTATCTTATTGTAAAAAAAACTTGATGGCCTCAAGGTCAATGCCTTGGGTTACTGGCAGCTCATAAATTGCAAAAATCTGAGCGAGGATATCAGCTGCCTGTTTGAAGAGGTTATTGGTGCAAAACTCTCATTCCCATTCTATCCCTCTCCTGCTATCATGTCGTTGCAGTGAGAATAGTTGACAGTGAATGCCTCCCCCCCCATCCCCCCCCGAGGGTGACTGGTGATCTACTTAACTGATCAATTGTCATTTTAGGGATATATTCGATGTGTTTCTGAACAGCAAGTCTGTGCTACTGGTGGGAGTAGAAGATTTTATATTTATCAGATGGCTATAAGTCTCATTGTAGCTTCCTTCATATCCCAAACTGGTAGGCTATAGTGGAATGTAAGTTTGCTTTGATGGGTAAATCACACATGAAGCTAATGCCAGGCTCACCTGTCCCAAGGAAGGTGATCATAGGGAAGGAGGGAAAATTGGATTGTGCAGAGCACTGGTGGCCAACAAAATAAATGTTTCTTAATTTATGGCATAAATCTATTTTGTTACTTCTATGATTATTTTGTTGGCCAGCACTAATGTAGAGTATGATAGGCAGAGGGAAAGGACCACAAGTGCATAGTGTGGGAGAGCTCATCAGGAAGTGAAATGTGAAATCCATTTAAAATCCATTTTAATGCATTGTTAAAAGTAATATTGAATATGATATATTGTATGGTGAAAACTCCCTCGTTGATGTTTATCTCATATTATGACAGTATACATTTATTTATTTCAGACATTATTATTCTATCATTAATGATATTGCTGTTCTCCGTCTCATAAAACAAAGCTTTGGATCTAAAAACTGTACAATGTCCAATTGCAAAGGAATGTTTCCTTTGCATGTTATTGCTTGCTACATGTACTATTTGGTCTTGAGGCCAGGATGAGTCTAAGATTGGGTTTAATTCTAGTTAGTTTGATTAGGCCTTTTGCACAATTCAAGCTTTGATCACTTTAGATCTTTCCATTAGTTTGTGATATCTGTCAAACTCATATTCCCTGCATTCTGAATAAATGTAATTTATAAATGCACAATGGCAACAGTGCAAAAACTACCATTTAATCCAGGGGGAAGATCAGGTGAGCATCAGGGAGTTAGGAAACTTGTGTTCAAAGATGAATGAACTGGCTATTTACAAGTGTTCATTATGAATTCTGTACAAGGGTTGACAGTCTGCTTAAAATAAAAAAGTTTTTAATAAAGTACAGCCAGCACTTTCTAATCCCATGTGCCTGTGAGCTGCCCTTTCTCTGTAGATGAAGTATTACCTTTTTTTAAAAAAAACTTATGATAAATGCACAAAATTTTCATTGCAATAAACTTTTTTGCAGGAACAAGCAGAAACGTATTTTGTGATGGATGTTAAGAGAGCTCTAAAGTTGACAGCTTGAAGTTTTTTGTGGTGACATTTATTGGTACATACATATGAATTAAAATATTAATGTTAAAAATTCAAGAAATGGATTTACAGAGAATAGCCGGGCTGCGTAAGATCGATCACCCATGGAAATTATATCCCACAAAAGGTAGTGTGAGTGGAGAGGTTCAGCAAAAGGCATCAGCCTGGGAGGGGGTAGCAGTGGTGGTCCTGAGATAAGGGCATGCTGTTATTAATAATAATAATCCTTGCATTTGATAAAAGTGGTTTATCGTGTCTTTTGAGAATATACTGTAAATTGCAAAGTTGTGTTTAGAGGGTGTAACTAGTCTATGGGTTCTGAACGTGCTCTTTGAATATTGTAGGCATTAGCTTGGCTTAGTTGGCACAGCATTCTCTCCACTGAGTCAGGAAGCTGTGGGTTCAAACCCCATGTCTAGACTTTGAACTCTTAGTCCAGACTGTGGGTAGCATTGGGGGTCCGAGGTCATGTCTGCCTGTTTAGGTGGATAAAGATTCCACGGGACTATTCATCATGAGAAGGTAGTTTCTCCCTGAGGGCAGAGCAAATATTCCGCCAAATAAAATAAAGGACCAATTTTTTTAATATATGGCTGTTTGTGGGAAATTACTTGTCTGCCACGTTTGCCTTCAACTTAATAGTCACTTCACAGAAAACTCTGAAGCTCTTTGAGAGGTTTTAATGTGTTAAAAATACAATGTCAAATGATTATCTGATTTGTGTCTTGTAATTTTTCTACATCATGCCTCAGCAATATTTCGTTACATATAAATTTACCACATATGCTTCAGGTTCGAGTTTGTTCGAGTTTACTGATTCAATCTGCAGAATAATTCTGAAACTGGTTTCGCAACCAAGCTTGAGTTCGTTCGTAAACAAAAATGAATTATTTGTATTACAGTGGAAAAGTGCCACAATGAATGGATTCTTACCAAAAACAAAAACTTAGATCAACTTCTAAATGTCTCCCTCTTAGTATATGTTTTTCTAAAATTTCCTAAAAATACACACCATGGTTTAGAAAGTTATATATATTTATTCTATATCTAAAATGTGTACCAAATTTATCCCATTATCTTGGGATTCAGCCTATATAAAAATGCACTGTATTGTCATTTCATAAAAAGCTTGCAACACAGTTATTCAGCCCATCTTGTCTGTGCTGGCGCTAACTCTTGTAAGTTCTCCGAGACACTACCCTGCATGAAGGGCACTCATTAAATGCAAGTTGTTATTGTTTTCCTGTACTGTTTAATATCTACACCCCCCCCCAGAAACTATCCAAATCCCATTAAAGTTTCAACAATTTATCATAATTTAAATTTCATCAACTGCCTGTACAAAAATTACTCTAAAATATAATCTCCCATTTTGTTTTTTTCTTTTGGTGATTCATTTAAACGAAATTGGGATTCAATTCAAAATTCAACAAAGGCTGCATTAAACAGCTGATTCACAGCAGCACACCACAGGCTGCATTGCAAGTCCGGGAATGTGCTTCAGTACCTTCTGGTGGTTCTGAGACGACAAATGTAAGTGGAATTACAGAAATTATAGAAAAGGAAATCATTCAACCATCAAGTCTATATTGGTGCTAATTCGTCCACTGCAAATTTAAAAGGCAGAGATTTAATTTAATTGGCCTGATTAAATTAAATGATTAAAACCAGGTTACATAATATCTGTTCACACTGATGTACAATTCCGAGCTGCCTGAGCTCCCTGATCTGTACTTCTAGAGTTCCTTCTCATGCGTTTGGTATTTTAGACAAAATCACTTGGGTTTCATTTATATAGTAGTCTATGAGAGGAGTCTGCCTTTTTTATCAGTTGAGAGGCTGAAACTCAGTGATTCAGTAATTCAGCACTGGGTGAAAGTGGTTTATAAAGCATTAACTTGGGTCAAATGGCTATTATGTTAACCCTTTCCCCATCTCTGCTCAATTCTTGTGAGAGAAAATATACTATTTCTATAGTTTCTGTCCCATTGTCTATTAAAATTCACATGGACATAACTGAAGTCTATGTGTTTGTTAACATTGTTCCACACTTTTGACACTGATGGGTGATTTGCCATCTTCCTGCAGACTTTGGTCAGCACTGTAAAAGGTGCACTTATAATGTGTATAATGTGACTGGCAATTAACTGAATATGAGTTGTTCCTGTACCACTAACCTCAGCAATCTTGATATTTAATCAATTTCTGTAGAAATTGGGTTTCATATCAAATAATAATCACAAAAGATAGCTTAGTGATATACTTATCTTCAAGTAGTGTCCCAAAGGAACACTTATCTAAGGTGGACTCAGGTTCAGCTGGAGATCAAATGAACTTTGATTTTTTTTGGCATTGTGATGGCCTGGAGGCAAGTAGCCAAGATTGTTATTCAATCTTTGTAAGAAAAGAACAGGATCTAGTGGATAGCAAATCTAAGGAGATTGAGCTTTTACCTTTTTTGAAATCTGTTGGGTTTTAATCTGCTGACAGACCAGGAACAAAACATTCCCTCGCAGTGAAATGCTTTATATCATGATGGGTGGTATGACTGATTTATATTTGATATCTACAATAATCTTTCATGTGATATAGTGCCTTTCATACTCGAGATAATGTCTCAAAATGCTTTACAGGATTGAAAGTGTCCTGGCTGTATTGTGTAGGTAAATCTCAACAACAACAACAAGATTTCATTTATAGAGCGCCTTTCACGTCGGGAGGACGTTCCAAGGCGCTGGACAGTTGGGTCAGGACCCGAGCAGGGGGGAAATGGTCAGGGCTGAGGGAGGGAAGGGAGGGAGCGAGGAGGGGGTAGAGAGTCGAGAGGGGAGCTGAAGGCACGGTCAAAGAGCAAGGTCTTGAGACCGGCCTTGAAGGAGGAAGCGGCAAAGGCACTGGGGGATGGAATATGTAATGTGCAGTTAATGTGACTCCAATTTAAATTTTTAACCACTGCATTTTCAAACAACAGTATAAAAATGACGGGCTTGTGTGGACTTGCAATTTAGAATCTTCTCTTCCCCCACCCTAAATTTCTTTTGAAGCAACTAGGCATCTTAAAACACTTTCGCGTACCAACTCTCTAGCAATTTATAGCTTCATTTTTTTCTGAAGTAGTTTCTCACAGTAATAGTTATGGAGAAGATTCTTATTCCCCTCCTACACACAACCTCCTCACCCCCTCACTTCCAACAAGTACTGAACATATGCCAGACAAAACATCAATTAAGTAGCAAATGATTATATTTTAGATTTCTGAAATATTAATCCAATTGCAACCAAACTTCAGCAACTAGTCTATTATGCATTTAGGTCTTCTACCTTCAGATGGCACTGTTCATCTCCAAATGGCCAAAGGGTTTTTCCTCATGGTGTTTGTTTAGTGCACAAAGTGATGAACTGCTCGTGAACAAAAGCCAAGCTTCATAACAAATTTATTTATTTGGCTCCGGTAATGATGATAAGATGATACATATGATTTTTGGCTACGTACTTCCACATGTTGAGTTCCTGATCTCTGTTGCGCTATGTACAGGTATATATCGAAACTGGGTGCCTCCTGATTGATCCCACAGAAAATCTGGAGACTCTGCCCAATTCACATTTGTTCACCTCTTCAAACAGATTACAGAAGG